AGGGAGTGCATGTGAGTGCATGTATACACATAGTATGTGTGGGTGTGTGAGTGTGTGTGAGTGTATGAGCATGTGTGTGTGTGGTGTGTGTAAGGGAGTGCATGTGAGTGCCTGTGTGCACATAGTGTGTGTGGGTGTGTGAGTGTCTGTGAGTGTATGAGCATGTGTGTATGTGTGGTGTGTGTAAGGGAGTGTGCCTGTGAGTGCCTGTGTGCACATAGTGTGTGTGGGTGTGTGAGTGTCTGTGTCTGAGCATGTGTGTGTGCATGGTGTAAAAGAGTGCATGTGAGTGCCTGTATGCACATAGTGTGTGTGGGTGTGTGTGTGTGTGTGCACATGGTGTGTGTAAGGGAGTGTGCGTGTGAGTGCCTGTATGCACATAGTGTGTGTGGGTGTGTGAGTGTGTGTGTGTGCACATGGTGTGTGTAAGGGAGTGTGTGTGAGTGCCTGTATGCACAAGTGTGTGTGGGTGTGTGAGTGTGTGGGTTTATGAGCGTGTGTGTGGTATATGTGGGTGTGTGTGAATGTGTGTGTATGTGGTGTACGTGGGTGTGTGTGAATGCGTGTGTGGATGTGTGTGTGTGTGAGTGTGTGTATGGTGTACGTGGGTGTGTGGGAATGCGTGTGTGGATGTGAGTGTGTGTGTGGTGTACGTGGGTGTGTGGGAATGCGTGTGTGGATGTGTGTGTGTGGTGTACGTGGGTGTGTGGGAATGCGTGTGTGGATGTGTGTGTGTGTGGTGTACGTGGGTGTGTGGGAATGCGTGTGTGGATGTGTGTGTGTGTGAGTGTGTGTGTGGTGTACGTGGGTGTGTGTGTGGTGTACGTGGGTGTGTGGGAATGCATGTGTGGATGTGTGTGTGTGGTGTACGTGGGTGTGTGGGAATGCGTGTGTGTGTGAGTGTGTGTGAGTGTGTGTGTGGTGTACGTGAGTGTGTCTTTGGTGTACGTGGGTGTGTATGTGAATGCGTGTGTGGATGTGTGTGTGTGAGTGTGTCTGTGGTGTACGTGGGTGTGTGGGAATGCGTGTGTGGATGTGTGTGAGTGTGTGTGAGTGTGTGTGTGGATGTGTGTGTGTGAGTGTGTGTGTGATGTACGTGGGTGTGTGTGAATGCGTGTGTGGATGTGTGTGTGTGAGTGTGGTGTACGTGGGTGT